CAAAGTTCTACGGCAGGCATATATTGAATTCCTGGCATTTTTTTAACAAATTTTGAAAAAAATGGTGCGTCATTGTCTGCGCTGTGGTACATAAATAGCGTTGTCAAAGGTTTCAGTTGATGGATTCATATACTTACTGTATTTGTCCGAGCTTCACATATTGTTAGGCATAACAATTAAAAAATGACCCTTTATTATAAGAGCCCGCCATTGAGGGGCACTTGGTAAACTACTGTGAATTTCCCGGGTCATTTTGGAAAGTCCCGTAAACTTCTGCTGAGAAAAAAACGGTACCGGTTCTATTTCGCATTCTCCATCTACACTTCTTCGGGCCACCAGGGCACACAAAACATTTGAAACCAGAAAAGATGAGGGGGCCTCACATAGAAGAGTAGGGTCATCAAACTCATAGCGTGAACAGTGGAACCTTGGTCAAAATACGTGCTTTAGGGGTGGGACGGTAAAATAAGTAGAATAAGTTACAGACGAGAAATATTTTAATTTGTTGGAATTGATTGGAGAAATATAATACCGTTCTAGTTTCGAACAGGATGCAGCTATACAAGAGTGAAGTGTCCTCACAAGAATGCTGAGTCATAGAAAAAATCGGCAGGGCGGAGTTTGAACCCGCACCTCATGCTTACCGCGCTTAGTACACTATCCATAACACCCAGCTGCGGCGTTAATTCTGCAGGTTGCATAATAAAAAAAAACAATCGCGAGATCCTCATCCCACGGCGTGGATCCTTAGCGAGGGGTATTTTATCGCTGAAAGGAGGGAAGGAAGAAAAGTCGCATTTTCCTTCAACAAAATTGTTTCCGGTTGTGTCTTTTCTCAGTTTTTCGTTTCACATGCATACAGTCCCTCTGCTCGACGAGATTTTATTTTGTGGGGAGGGAGGGGGAATAGAGAGTTTTCGGAAGGAACTGGGGAATAGTGCAGGAAGATGGAAGAATCCAGAAAAAAGGATGGTGAGCAGAACTTCAATAGGGAAGGGGGAAGTCGTATTTTGCGAAATTTCTCTCCATCTGCCTGTCGCGCACCACCATTAAGTCGAAGGCTAAAATTCCCATTGCTATCACAAGAATGCTGAGTTGTGGGCAAAAGTCGTGCCCCAGGCGGGAGTCGAACCCGCACCTCACGCTTTCCGGGCGAGTGCGCTATCCGTTACGCCACCAGGGCCGCTTTTACCCTCTCAGCTTAACGGCTTATGCCGTAACCTTACAGCACTCACACGTTTAACTTGGTGAGCCGGTCAGCCGTAATCGACTCCCGCCTGGGGCACGACTTTTGCCCACAACTCAGCATTCTTGTGATAACATTCGGAACGCGTACTGCGGCGTTAAACAGCAGTTATCATAACAAAACAGCTCATTGCTATGACTCATAGTCGCTTCGTCGCACCTTACAGCGCTGAAAGCAGTCCAACGTGGAAAAATTATATGCATAACTGAAAGCGAGACTGGCACAATTTCACAGCTACGCAGTTGTTTACAGGAGTACAAAATTGCCCCGCATTTTGACACAGGTTCACAAAATGCAGCTCCCTTTCCGCTCCTGAAGCAAATGTGCGGTCATAAGAACGTAGTAGTCCATGACAAAGATTATTTCATTCGTTTATGGAAGCATCTTACTCATGGTCAGTAATTTGAGTAAAGTCCTATCGATTAGTTAGGGTACTGTAGAAAAGTTTTTATGCAAAGATTGCGAACTAACAGATAATTCGGGTACTTAGTGTGTCTGACAAGGGTCGCGAAGAAAAGGCGAAGGATGAAACGCTTGAGACATCTAAGCATGAAAGAATTAGGACGAGCTAGTAGCGTCGAAAGTAAGTACTTTACTCGAAGTCGGAACGGACAGATGTTAGGAAATGGAATGGCGCCTGAGAAACGCTTTGGTGAGAGAATGAAACGAACGAGACATAGCGATGTTTTATCGAATCGTTCGTTGCACTTGCGACTCGTCGTCAAAGAGGGGCTTCGATCGTGGGGCTGGCCCACCAGCCGGTCTGATGGGGTGCTGGACGCCGAGAATGAGTCATCACGCTGACTCATTTCAATTCAATCACTTCCGCTCATCACTTCTTTCAGCCAACAACCAAAAACACTGCGGAATTGCGCGTACGATTAGTTGACGTATAGGTGGCGTAGCCGTTATGCTCTCGATTGGTGCGAGAAAAACATCCATCGCGGAATTGTTCCTTTTCAATTTTAGATTAAGGATTTTTGTTCACTATTATCTCAGGATTTGAAATAGTAAAAAGTATATAGTAATGATAATTGAGGGCTATAAGGGACAGCGAAGAGGCGAAAGGACAGAACTAGGAAAATGGTCACCAGTGGTTGGGTATCAGAATACAAAACAACCACGAATGCAATAACAAATTTGGCCACCGTTTGGCTTGGAGGGGGCACTTTGCACATCCGCTAATTCGTTTTGTAAGTGCATGTTTAATAATATGTTTTACTCTGAAGAGATCTGTAAAGTTCT